CTCAGATCTATAAATTTGAGACTTTTTAGTTCTTATATTAAAGTTTATTATGAATAAATTTGTGAAAACTCTCATACTTATAAAGACTCGATCTCTGCAGTTTTAGGTACAGGTATTACTAATTTTTAAGTTTCAAATAATTAGCCAAGAAATTTAGGTAGTTTTCTCTCTCAGACCTCTGATCCGTAGACTTTAGTCTGTAACCACAATATTTGGAATTAATAAATAATATTTGGAATTGTAATACATACATAGCGCCATGTATACTAACTTATCTATCGTAATTAATAACAAAATTCTCAAAATCAAAAGTTGGCAAAATTTAATTAAATATTGCTAATTTATGTGCAATATATTCAAACTCGGAACTTTCTCGATATAGATAATACAAGTGATCGATTCAAATTAATTTAAAATACCTTTTTTACACAAAAAAATAAAAATCATTAATGTACCAATATATTAATGTATAATTAATGTATATACATTATATTACAGAATGTGGTAAGAACAATGAATATAACTGAAGTGACTTTTTGTGTAAAAAAAAATCGAAATTATGGAAGCTATGAGAAAATTGATTTAAAGTCTGTAACATCAGAAGACACAGTACTGTTTCGACGCTAAGACAAGTTACTAGTTACGTCATATTACATGCCCTTATCCTATGCTATTTCATAATTTCTCACACCGTCAATAATTCACAAGTTCAATTGTTTAACGAACATATCAATGACATTAACATATAATGCATTTATATATATTGTATAACCCGTAATTTTTAATACCGTCTACAAGATAATGAATTTTACGAATGTATTACAATAGTTAAGATACTAATTAACAAGGTAGATCATATTCATATAAATTATATATGAAATATTATTATATTATATAAAGGGTGCCTTTTTGATAGGAATAAGATAAATATATAAAATAGCGAGAAATATATAAAATATAAAAATATGATAGCTAATATCATTAAAATATTTATCAGTTACGATTTCATATTGATAAAAAATATAATCTTTATATAATCTATAAAATTATGTACATTAATTATAATTAGATTTGATTACAAAAATATAATATTGTAGAAATTTAAACAGGGAAAAGGAACACGTAAGACAAATTACTCAAGAATGTTCGTTCTCGCAGAGGTTTCGTGTTGTACAGTTTCGTATCAGGATTAATATAATATAGTAATAGCACTTTGAAACCGCGAGCCTATAATATTCGCGTCGTAAGTTATCGACTATGTAAAGAACAATAACTTTGCTTACATAATGTATTTTTCTACATATATTTTGTACTTGCGAATAAATTTCTAAAAATATTCCGCATGAATCATTCTGATTACCCGCTATATAATTTAAATAAAATCAAGAGTTACCGTGCAAGTAACATATATTAAAGCTTCTTACCAATACAAATTCTTTTTATGAACGCGAGATTCTTAATTGCTTTATAGAAATCAAATGACACAATATTGAAAAGATAAAGTAAACAATATATTAATGGACATAATCCCATTATTGAAAGTTATACGAAATTTTAAATATTAAATATTAAGTTTTTAATAATATGCCTCTAAATAATAATATCGTTGTTTATAAAAATTAATAACGAATTTATTTAAAATTATATCATTAAAAGCTTAATATTTAATATTTTTGTTATTTCGTCCAAAAATTGGATTATGTCCATTGACTGGTATATTTACCTTAATATAATATATTTTTAAAATACGTATCCTCTCGATATGTCGTCTCGATCCAGATTACGGTACTTAATATCGTTTTGGAGAATTGTAGCTTTCTCTTGTGAAACTTTTCAGAATCTTTCGCTTGGAACAAGTCGACAACGCAAGCAACGGCAAACCCAAAAAACGATTGAAGGCGAGTGAAAGAATAAAAACGAATCAGATAAAAGAATTTAATAAAAGAAGAACAAAATCTTATAACGCCATCTAACTGTTATCTGCTGCTATCCTATTCATTGATCATTGATATTCATATTAATAATATTTCATATCAATACAATATTTTTCTAATAGAAATAATCTGTGAAAAGAAAAATACTTTGAAAATGTTACATTCTATTATGCGCTACGACTTTAATTAAATGTCTAATGTTTTTTGATTCCCTAACATTAATATAATATTCCATTGAATCTTTGGAATTTGTGCTACAATTTTTACGTTTTAAAAAGAAAAAAAAGGGATTTTCTCTGAACATCTCCCTGAAACACTTCCGACATAACAATAAAAAATAAAATTAATTCTACATATATTATATACATTTTTCGCATTAATCCTTACTCTGTTTTATTTCTTCTAATAATTAAATTTTTCCTTATAAGAAATTTCATCAATGCATTACTTGGATAAATCGCGCTATTATTATTTTCACAAAATTTCGCCCTTCTCAATGAACAAAAATTTTGAAAATCAGCAAAAATAATCTCAAAGTTACATTCCACACAACATGAAATATTTCCGAAATATTTTCAAAATATTGCAAGATTTTAAATACTTTCGAAATGTTTCATGGAATATTTCTAAAATATAAATATGTCCAGGAAATTAGAGTTTTTGAAATATTTTTGTTTTCACAATATTTGTACAAAATATTTTAGAGAAATCTATTTTATATTCTTGAACAATACTGCAAAACGTTTTACAAATGTTTACGAAATATTTCTGAAATATTTTTTATTGAAATATTTAAAAAAAATAATAATTCACATAAATATATTTCATGTGCTGTATGACAAGTGCAATACATTTCGTTCTTAATATAACACGGCGAAAGATTCATAATTAATCGCTTCATTAAACTATACCTATAAAATGGGAACAACACAAATATTTACAACATCCCAGATTCATCGCCACGCGAATGCCAAACATTCGCTGACATTCGCGACCGGTTCGTATCCGCCGGTGACAACACGCGCGCGCAACCGGCGACAATTAAACGGGCGCGGCATGTCGTCCTGTTGCTTTTCTTATTTGGAGAACGGTTCGCGTTCCGCCGGGGAACAAGGTTTGCGAGGCGGTTAAAATGGCGAGCCGAATCAGGCTCGCGGATCAGGATATAATGAAGTATGCGTGTCGCACATCGGCGACGATCGCCCGGCCCGGGCGCGATTCGCTCGGCGTATATATTTACTGTTACAGGACGTTCGCCATGGTTCGCCGCGCGCTCGGCGACCTGCGTTGTACCTGCAGCCGACCAGTTCACCAGTATGGCAGTATCGCGAACCATCGCGAACGGCGAGGACTTGATCGCAGGTGCCGCCCGCGCCGGTGTAATCTCCCGTCGATCTAATTCACGCGAGAGAACCTGCGTTCGCCGGGAAACGGAATTGGCGACGCTCTCGCAAGAACAGTCTTGCAGAATCATCGGCGATAGTCTCGTCGAATGAATTATTAGACACAACTGTCTCGTTAAGTCTGGTCTCACGAAAAACAGAACGGAACAGGAGAGACCGTACTTCGCGATACTTCGGCGAGATCGTATTATACTTGCACAACAACGCGGCCCCGCTGTGCGTCCCATTATTCGCGAGTTATCGAGGTCTTCGCGTTCGCCGCGGATGATACCAGGTACGATTACGCGTGTACAGCCTTCAACGAAAGATATTCTCAGGTATTCTGATGTAATCCATCCCAAGGAATATATCAAATCAAATGATTTTATTTCGACTTCAAAATGATGATTTTTAAAACTAATTCAAATTGGTGAAATATTAACACAAATAAAAAATAGAATAAAAAACGTGCAATTAAGAGCATTAATTAGCATTAATTGGTGCGAATATCATAAATACATATATTTCGATCGTATCTATTAATCGTATCTATTGATACATAGTAATAATTGTCACAATCTAATGTTTGTAACGTTAGATTGCGAACAATTATTACTATGATTGGGTATTTTATGTAATAGATCAATAGATATGTTCGAAATATATGTATTTATGATATTCGCACCAATTACCGCGTATTAATGCTCTTAATTGCTCGTTTTTTATTCTATTTTTTTATTTGTGATGATTTTAACTATTTTGACTATTTATTGACGTTAAGAATTACAAGGTTTAATTGTTTATTGTTGACGTTAAAAGAATTAAAATAGTCATTTTGATTTTTTGTCGAGACTCCGTGTGTTCCTTGGAAAGCAGAAGAATTACATCAATATTACTGCAACATTTGCAATATTATTGTAATGTTACAATGTTGCTCCAATATTATTGGAGTTATTTGTGCTGTATAATAAGCGTCACATCTATGGACGCTAGTTCCTCTACAATTCTCTATAGATAGATCGAATATAACGCTTCTAATAAACATCCAAGCAGAACAACAACTCATACAACACAGGTCATTATACAATAAATATATAATAATAAATAATAACTACGTTCAGCAAAAACTTTGCAACTGTTATTCAAATCCAAAAATCAACAAAAAAATTAAAATGACTTTATTTTTATTCTTAATGTTAATAAACAGTCAAATTTTAGTAGCTAAAAATTATCATTTTGGCTTTCATGATGTCAAAATAAATTAAGTGATTTTGACTTTCTCTTTAACTTGGTGTATTCCTTAGAGATATCAGATTTTTTAATATTATGATTGATCTTTCTCTTAGTTTCTCACGAGTCTATATAAATGTAGAAACCAATCGCATTAAATATAATTTTACAATAGTTGCCGCTCTTTATGCTGAACGTAGTTCATCGCAACGTTTCAGAAATATTGTAGTAACATTGAAAAAAACGTTACAGCAATTGCTCCAAGTTCTATGCTGTATAGGAAGTCGTGATACATAAAATAAATCGTAAATGATTGAAAAGTGACTTTTAGTAATCATTTTGCAATCATTTCGCTGTCATGATGACTTGTGTTCTGCTTGGGTAATCACTAGCCAGCCAGACCTCCCTCTATTGAAGGAGTTCGAGAAGAAGCTCTATGAATACTCGAACGACATCAGGAGACACCTCCGGTACGGTGACACGTCCGGTACTCAGGAGTTGAACTGTAGCGAGGACTTCGATTGCATCTGGAAGGCTGGAAGTAGCTACGAAGGGTTGGTTCGTCGGGTGTCATCCTGATCACGACACGGATCGACGCTCGTCGGAAAGAGAACTTTCGGGAACAAGCATTAACGGTGCAATATATCATGCGCATGAAGAATTATCCTAAGAAAATTGAAAGCGACACGACGTTCTTACCGTCAGCAGTACGTACGCGCGGGACACGCGCCATCGGCGTAAATATTGAATTGAACAAGTGACGTAATATTAGTTGCGCGAGGCATGATAATAAGCGAGGACGTCGTCGTTGCTCGTCGGCGCACCTCGCGATCAGATAAAGCCGCTCGAAATTGTTCCCCGTTTCGAGGTCGACGCACTGGTCGCGTATCTGCCACGGAGAAGCCCGATAAAAGGTTCAGTCCGGATCCATCGTCGTTGCCAGCCTGCTGTTGCATTCTCGAATTCTCACCGGCGGAAACGCACGGAATGGAGGTGAGTCTCTCCCTCGCTTCGACTAAAAAGTAAATAAAAAGGAGTTTCCGATCGCTTGCAGACGCTCCAGCAAACCGAATATAACTATGTAATGTAGCTGTAAAATATTTATATATATGTTATATAGCAGTTACATTTATTAGGTCCGGTTTCTCGTCAATGTAAAATTATCTTAAGTTCAATTTTCTCTTTATTCTTAGAATTAGAAAAAGATAAACAGTAAGTTAAATCGAAATTAAAATTAATCCTACATTGATGGAACCGGGCGAAGTTTGTTTTATGCCCGTTCCTGTCAAATTTAATTTTAATGTTAGTTCAACTAACTCTTTACTAGTTCTAAGAATTAGAAAAAGCTGAAGAATAAGTTAAATCGAAATTAAAGTTAATCCATTGATAGAAACAGGATATCACTTGAACTTGCACGATTCATCTTTTCTCTTTTTTCTTTAGTGTAGAGAGAAAAGAAGGGAAGAGATGAACTATGTAGAAAAGTCAATTAAAAAGAACAAGTCTAACGTTTGTTGAAATATATTTCCGTAAACTATCGTAGAGTGATCGTTCATTGGAACGATCTAACCGATGATCTGCCTGTTCCACAGATGTCCCTTCCTGTAATTTAAAGCAATCGAAATACGCGTATACTTGGATCTAGGAAAGTTAAAGATGCGTGTTAGACATTAGGAAATAGGAAAATATGGAAAGTGTAGCTAAACGGAGTAAATCTGCGTGACGACAGTCTTATTTATCTCTAATGTTCGAGCAGTGAGTGAATTGACAGTTACGCAAAATGCGAATTTACACGGAAAAAAATTAATAGCATTAATAGCTGACAGCAGTCTGATTAAAAATAATCTTGTTAAATTTCAGAAAATCTTTAATGAAACAAATATGTCATGCTCTTGCTTTAATAAAATTTTATTTGTTTTGTTAATATTGTTATTAAATAAACATGATAATTTTTAATTAGACTGTTTTTTTTTACTAATGCTGTTAATTTAATTAATACAATATCATTTTTTTCGTGTTCAGATCGAAATGAGATCTCTTTTCGTATTTATTTTAAGGTAAAGAAACAAAAATTGCTTGATTACTTTGATTTCATTACACGTCCTTTTTATCTTTCTATCATCTCGGAAGATAAATAAAATAAAAATAAATACAGATATAGAGATAAAAAAATACAATTATTGATTAAGGAAATAAGGAATTTGAATAAATACTTGAAAGATATAATTATTTTATTATTTAATTCGCGTGATGAATATAAATTAATGTTATAAGAGGTCTGGTTATGAAATACTTGGATTCCGCTGAGCGAGAGTTAATTTCACCTCGTACTATTGCGTGTGACATTGCGACTGTGTTTACAATGACATTTTTCATTGAATCGTCTACGCGTTGATATCATATCTCTCGCACTCCACAGCTTCTTCGTAACGTTCAGTAATTTGGTGCTTTAATTGCAAAAACGACGTTAGTGCGACAGAAGAAGAAAAGTAAAAATTTTTTGTCTAAATTTAAAAAGTTGAAATAAATGCGTGCTCGTAATCATTTCATCTGTAACAATTGGGCTAATAATACAACGTATTCCGCATATGTAATATTGCCATTTGTTAAAACAGTCAATAAATTTGTAAAGTCATCGCGGTTCCTGTCATATGTTTGCGGAAAACTTTTGTTCACGCGTCGTTTTCTGCGTCGTTCTTAAATTCTAAACAAATTGTTGGAATTCTTGCCAGGAAGTGCGTTTGATATTACTTAATGTATTACAATTTAATTTTTCTCATATATTAGATATTTATATATATATAAGTTGAAACCAATATCGATATAATAACAGATCTTGGGAACTGATCCTTTTGAAGCCGATTGACTTCAACTATAATTCGATTCAGTTGACGTAATACTGTACGCGATCTTCATACAGAATGATACAAAGCTCAAGATCGGAATGAGGCAATCGTGTTTGACGCACGATATAAAAATATAGAAGAAGAAGAAAGAAGTTCCCTGGAAGAGAACAGAATGACTGTACGAATATATTATAGTCAAAAGTCAAGGCAGCAATTTAATTTAAATATATTTTCTTCCTTATATGATGATTTATTTATTATAAAATACGGAAAGTAAAATTCTGAAAATTTAATTGAAGCTTTATGACTGTATTTTAATTACCTTTATTCGGCCTTTCTATAAGTCTTAAATATTATTCTACTTATAATGCTCTCTCAATATTCTTTAATTTTTCAATTCCAAGTACTTATATTGTCTACATTTTATAATTTATAACACTTGGAAAAGAATGACTTGGCAATTCAAATGTTAATCGACATTGGGAGAACTGTATCGACCTTAAGTCGGTCGCTCAGACATTCTCGAAGGAAGCAAAGATGGTGCATGCCGATCGAGAGGAGAGACGAAAGAGCGGTAGGAAGAGTCGTGGCCCATTTCTTTTAGAAGGGAAACGATGATTACAGTTAAGCCGTTACCTCCGTCGGTTGGAAATCCTCATGAGAAACTCGGTATAGCCGCTGTAGCAACAGCTTCTGTCCTCGCCTCGCCTTTCGTACGCCACGCCAACCCTTTTACGGCACTTTTCTTGCCAGAGACACCGAGACGAGGTATTAAAACTGGCCTTGGAGTCTTTCTCAGACCTGGTTAATCGCCGCGAAAATTTATTCAAGCGACCTTTAATGATATCCGTGCGAATACTAAGCTTTATGAATCAATGAATAACCGATACAAATATAATAGAAATTGCTCAGGAAAATATAAATAAATTGCTATATAACATACATACGTAAATATATACATTTTACATTTATATTACATTCGTTGAGAAAATTTCTGGTTCAAAATGGCCGAATTGTCAGAAAATTCTGATCATATGAGTCAGAATTCATTTTGATTATCTTAACTAGAATTATAAATCCAACTAAGAAAATTTTGATTTGCCCATTACTTTTAACCAGAATTTCAATTAATACAACTCTTTTTTTCAGTGCGGTAGTGTAGTATATAGTAGTAGTTATATTTGATGTTTACTGGAAAACTGTGAGAAAATAGTATTAGATTAGTAAGAAAAAACTATTAGAATGAATAAATATAATATTTGACTCGAATGGTTTTTTAATTATTTTCAATAGTTTTTTGCAAGTCTAATATAGTATTTTTCCATAAAGGAAGAACAGGCTTTGAAATTTTGTTGTAAACATTTGAAACGGAAGTGACTCAAAGAAAAAGAAAAGTAGAGAGAAGATTTTATCATGATAAAAGCGCGATGTATTCACTGATACTAAAAAAAAAAACGATTTCTAATAACCTTGATTTTTTTACCGAAGGTCATCGCTTGATTGCAATTTCGGTTCCTGTATTTTTTTCGTACAGAAAATATGTTTCTTATTTATCCGTTTCATGACTTCAAATGCATGACGTGTCGAGGAAGTTGCAGTGGAACACGATATAATTTTTTCTGAAGATAAAAACTGATAATGTTTGATATGCGATCGATAAAGGCAAAGATGACGGTTATTGTTGTAATAAGAAATTTGCTGCACCGCTGAAAACCCTTTCACCTTCCTACCACATATCTAATTCTTTGAAAGTGTTTCTCCATGGTATCATTCCAATGAAATAACATATCTATTTATCAATAGTTATTACAATCAATCCATTAATCAATATTGGGTACCAATAAGCACGATGAGAAAGATATCGCGAGAATTGGAATATATATACATACACACACAAAACATGATATAAAAATTTAAAAGACGTCATCACGTCACGCCATTTCTTTTATATCTGCGGATCAGTTATTAAAAACTCTAATACTCGTTAAAAAGAATCAAATAAATTTTTCAACTATTCGATTTTCGATCGGATCCATATTGGATGTATTGTTAGTACTTTGTTTTTTTAAATTTTAGTGAGATTCCTCTTATCTTAAATTTTTTGAATTCTTTGTAAAAAAATTTTAAAACTCTGATAACGAGTTTGTGCGTTATCACGTAACTTAAAATTTTTCGTGAAGAGATTTTAAAATCTTAATAACGAAACCATTGAATTTTAATGAATAATCTTGTACCTCTTGAGGAAAAACAAAAATTAAACGCACACGTTCCATATTTTCATGTGAAAATGCATGTGCAGGCGGAGCATAGACTGGAGCAGTTAAAGAGAGCGACGGACAGAATACAAAGGGAAATCGAAGAAGTTACCGAGAGGGAACACGAACTGCGGAACGTGGGTAGCATTAAAACCACATCCCACGAGACGGTAGATTTCAAGGTATCTTCAGAATGAACACCAAATAATTTTAACGTCTCTGAACCTATAAAAATCGCACGCGCATCTCTTTTCCTTTATAAAAATAAAAATATTTTCAAGTTTCAAATTCCATGAAGAAAATATCCATACAGCATAAAATTTGCAATAATATCGCTGCAAAATCTCTGCAATATTACTAATAATTTTCTTATTCAATTTTATCGTTTTGTTTGTATTATACAAATATTGCTAATGTTGCAGCAGTGTTATTGCAACTTTTGTACAACTTTGTGTTGTAGGGGAAAGATTAAAATGTGAAAATATATTTGGAAATCGTCTCAAACACGGAAAGATCCACTTGTATCTTAAAATAATATATAATTAGTAATTCTGTTGCATAGGTGCGTCGTATGCCACAAGCTCTGGCCTCGGGAAAACTGAAAAGAACGACGTCCACGCCGCAGATCCTGGAGACAGTCAGCCCGACGTCGCGGTCGCCAAACTTGACGCCAAAGATGACGAACGGCGTGATATCTACGCGCACGACGCCGACACCGCTGCGCTTTGCAACCGCGCCGAGCCAGAAGGGTTTGATGCACAGGTTTCTAGCTACACGGGGAAAACTCTATAAGAGTAAATCGCAAAACGACGATAATTTGAGTTCTCCGATAACGCCCGTTATCACGCTCAATCCTCTGAGCATCAAAGCTTTTAACAGAACATTGGAAATACCACTGGAGCCGGACGACGAGCCAAAGAAGCCATTAACGAGGAAAGGATATGTTCCTGTCGAGCAAAAGATTCAAAAAGAGCTACATGACATGAAAGAACGAGAGAACGAATTAAGGTATCAAAGTTTTCATATCAAAGAATTTACTTTATTTTACTAAACGATTCAGTTTAAATCTTCGGTTTTTAAAATAACAGATTAAAGGGAAAATTAATTTGAGACTGACTTTTTAATTGTTTAAGAATAAGTTTTGAAATTTATTAATAAAGCGATTTGTACTATTAAATCTCGAATTCTGTAACAATAATAAATAATACTAATTTAAATAATAATATAATTTAAATTTATTTAACATCTTTCGTTTGCAATGAAGAAAGCATTAAAAAGATAAAATATCTTTTTAATGTTATCTAGGCAAATTGTTGCACATTGCAATAAAAATTACGTAAAGGAGTCTTTTTACTTGATTATAACATTTGCAAACTTAAATTGTAACTGATTCGTGTAAATCTCGTTTTATCTTCTAGATTGATGAGATCGCAGATGTTGGCAAAGTCTCAGCCGAATTTACTTGATATAGGAAATGATAACGATTCCGATATTTACGACGGCTCCAGTTCCCTTAGAAGTGGTACTTCTACTAATACCTTGAATGAAGATGAAATCGAGAGAGAACATAAAGGAAAACACAAGGTTGGTAATATTTCTCATTTTTTACGATCAATTACTATCATTAAAATAAACATTAATTTATGATAAATATAATTCTTTGGATCGCATTTGTTGATAATTTTATTGCTTACTATTTTATTTGTAGCCTAATCCACGACGTCGTAACACACTCATCGCGCAATGGGAGAATCTGATAGCCGCCAAGAGAGAAGCTATTGAGAATAACAATGAGAAAGATAGAAATTACTTTTGAAAATTCTACTATTTGCAGAACAACACCGTCTTTATCTTTATCCTATCGGTATCCTATTCTATCTAAATGATCGATTGTAAATTAATAATACTTATTAATATTACAGTGGATAACTGTATTGCACTAAGAGCATTGCTCCACCTTTCTTAAAGCGTATCTTAAATGGATATTTTCTTGTTTTTTTATCTTGTTTTTTTATATAGTTTATTTACGAATGAATCACTCTTTTGTGTTTGAATATTTATGCGCTCTAGTATTATAATTAAAATTTAATTCATGTCACGGCTGCGTGTTTTCAGTATTAAGTTATTGGCTAAATAATGTTATTAAAACGCGACTGCTTATAAAATTGAAAAATTAAAAAAAAATAGAACACATTTTGTTTCATCGTTATTGATGAATTGGATAACATAAATACAATGTGTAAAATATTCTCACTCGCGAGCAACTGAGTTTTCGTACGTTATCATCTAATTTGTAACTTTGCGGTTGTTAAGTGCTTATCATAATTAGTTCACTCGATTTGGACGTGTATAGTATTAAAAATATGTGTATCAAATACTAATTCGTGAAGACAGGTAAGATATTCGATTGATACCTGCATGTGAAAAATCCAATTGTAATAATAATATTAAATAATATTGCATTAATTATAAATATTTGTTTTGTCATATCCGACCCTTTGTTTGGTTTCATTATTATCACAGCCCATTACCTTAATAACACTTTAACAATAAAGATATTATAATAGAATCTATAATTATAAAGATATTATTAATGTTCGATTTTTATTTTAAAAAATATCTATTGTAGCACAATTAGGCACATAACATTGACACAATAAATAAACCAATTATAAATTAAAATAATTTTTAAATTATTATTGATCAATGCTAGGAGACTTTATATTGCATTATTACATTAAATTTTATTTAAAAATAGGATGGATGAGATCTGAGAAAGCATATAATATATTTATTCTTTATAATTTTAATAAGATATAAAATCATCGCTTACATATTTGTTTTATGCTATCCATCACTGCGATTGTTTGCCGGTGATGAGAAAAATTAATTTATGTCTTTATTTATAATTACTACTTATCTGATCAGTCGTGGATGTAGCAAGAAGAAAATTAAAAAAACATCATGATTATAGCATAGAAGAGAACCACAAAATAGTGAATATTATCCATTGAGATGTGTGAACATTGGCTACGTAGTTCAATGTCTATGTTTTAAGGATATAGAGACGCTTCAAAATAAGCTCACCTGTCCACGCGGTATCTTCTTTCGTGTAAAAAATAAAATCCAAACATAAAATAAACGCAGTATTTTTCCACATTTTATTGTTTATGATTATATTATGACATTATGGCCTCACATATAATCGAAATAGACGAAGACATAGAAATTAAACTTTTACTTAATTTCTCCATAAATAAAGGTATGCGAATTATTGTTACTACATGTTACTGTAAAGTCATAAAATTCAATAAAATGTATACAATTACTTTTGAATACACATTATAGTGTATTTCAATATGTAGAAATTCTTCTGTTATACTAATGTCTTTTTACAAGAATATATAATTCTATTTCAGTAATTATTTCTTATTTTAGTTTCAGATTTACCAAATAATGTATGTGAAATATTAAACGGCCGATATGAAGATATAATAAATAATGAACTTTCTACATTTATTGAGGCAATAAAAAATGGTGATAACTTAGAAGAAATTATACATAATAGTTTATCTGAAACGCATACCCATCTGTCATGGCTGTGTACAGGAATAGCTTCGTTATTATACTTTGTCCAATGCAATTGGACAGGGCCTCCTATTGATAAAGATATTGATTGGTTGAAAACCAGAAGAAATGAAGCACTCAACCATTTGTCCTTGCATGACGGATGTAATATAAATGTACGAAAACCAGAACTCATTTATCTGTCTAAGAAAATATTTTCTGACGTAGATCTGCAGCTTAAATATAAAAGTTGCATTTGGTGGCTGTTTAGAGCCACTCTGTTGCATCAACATATTTTAGATGAAAACACAGGAATATTGTTTGAAGAAACTGAAAATTTAATAACAGAAATTAATAATCTGAATATATTAGAACATCCTGTTTGTAAGCTTTTATTCAATTTGGAAGCTGGTACATTTTATTTGTACTATAAAAGATCACAAAATTCTGAAAAACATCTTGAATGTGCACAAAAAATAGCAGGCTTGAAATTAAATTTAGAAGGTGCAATGGGAAAACGTACCAAGTATCAACAAGAAGAAAAGCCGCAGTTATATCTCAAAATAGAAATGAACAACGATACTTTTCCTTCGATAGATTGCGAAAATGTACCAAGATCTTTGAGTTTAAATGATTTTGATGATTTGAGATTAGATTGCATTGAGTTTTCAGAACATAAAGAAGAGACTAAATTAGGTATGATAGAAGAAGCGATAATTTTAGGAAAATAGTAAGTATAATAATATATTTGTATTCATATCAACAATTATAGCATGTCACCATTATAACACAGAAAGATTTTAATAGTTAACAGTGTTCAGTTGCAGTTGTGTCAACCTACGTACGAACTTACTGATGAGGAAATCAGGCCCTATCTAAGTGTAAGCTGTAATATTAACATTGAATTTTTCTTTATTATTACTAAATAATATAGTTTATTATCAATAGATAATATTAAGAAATTCTTCTTGTAGAGAGTTATTGAGAGTACAAAAAATTGGTCATTAAAGATGACTTCTTTATACTACCGTTGCTCATCGGAATCTAACAATAAGAGAACTATCAATAGATCAATGAAGCAAACACAATCTCTAATAAATGATTATAATGATGTAAAAGTACCTACAGCCAGAAGAATGGATTTATTTTTTGCAAGTGGTATGAGACCGATTTGGATGTTGGAGGAGAAATGGGCTAATTTAATGTTCAGTTTTGGTGATGTAAAAACAGCTCTCGAAGTTTTTATAAAATTAGAACTATGGGAAGATGTGATTGTCTGTTATAACGTGTTAAATTTGAAACATAAGGTATATTTTATATTAAATATATGACAAAAAGTTATATAAAAAATAACTAATGTGAACGCTTTTTCAGGCAGTTGAAATTATCGAACAGGAAATATCTAAGAAACCAACAATAAAATTGTGGTGTCTGTTAGGAGATGCAACTGGGGATGTGAGTCATTATGAAGTGGCATGGAAATTGTCCGATGAAAAAAGCAGTAGAGTACAAAAACATTGGGGATTATATTATTTCGCAAAGAAAAATGTTAGTATTTGAATCATTAACTGCCAAAGTAAATCTTTTATTCAAATCTTAAATGTAAAATTTATTTTTTAGTATGTCGAGGCAATACCACATTTAAAGCTATCAGTTGAATTGAATAATATTCAGGAAGATGTGTGGTTTAGATTGGGTTATGCAGCATTACAGATCGAAGATTGGAAGTTGGCTGCTATGGCATATAAACGTTACTGTTCTTTAGAACAATTTGTACGTACACATATTACTATTTTCACAATCGATATGGATTTCATAAAATTCTTATTCTATCTAAAAATTTCAGGCTTTTGAAGCATGGAACAATTTAGCAAAAGCATACATAAAATTGGGAGATAAAACAACAGCTTGGAAATTTTTACAAGATGCCATAGCATCTTGTTACGATTGTTGGCAAGTGTGGGACAATTTGATGATCGTAAGCATTGATTTGGGACATTTTTCGGAGGTAAATATCTATATATTTGATTGAGAATTTTTATAAAAATTCTCTGTTCAAATATCTAAATCAATTTTAAAAGTATTAACATATTAAAAATTACAGAATTACATAGCTCTTTATATTAAATATATTTTATTAATAGTTTCAAACAATTTATTTACAGGTTATTCGATGTTATCATCGTATTTTGGATTTGAAAAGTAACCATTTAGATGTTCAAGTTCTCCAGATATTAACAAATGCTATAGTAAATAATATTAATGATGCGAACGGAAATCCAGCATCTCGTTTGCTTCAAAATAGTTTGGAATTATTTGGAAGAATCACTTCTAATATACTTAATAATCCAGATATTTGGAGAATGTATGCTGAACTTGTCGTACTGAAAAAAACAGACGTTAACGAAGAGAGAGCGGCACAGTATCTACAAAAAGCGTATCGTTTTATCACTTCGAATCCATGGAGTCACAGCGAAGCTGCAACTCTAAAAGTGCTGGATTTATGTTGTGACTTAGCGCAAGCATATTTACGTTGTACTACTGATATTGCAGTTATCAAGAAAAGGAAGATGTTAGGAAGCGCTAAATTGTCGCTTCTAGGGGTCGTGAAAAAAGTCAAGGAACAAGAGTGGAGTAATACGAACATCATCGAACAATTAATAAAAGTTGAAGAATATTTAGCGACTATAACGAATGAATTAGAACAAATAAAACCTACATAATGAGGATATTAGTAGAAGAATTCTTTTTTTACAGAACTTTATAAAATCAATGATATGATTGATTCTAATAAGATAGTTTTACAACAAACAATATAAGTATTTTAAATTCTGTTTCGTATGCATTGTATATAATTAATTATTGTAATCAATTATCAATATGATAATATTCTACATACACATACATATATTAGTCATACATATAAACTGAAAGTCAGCGTATCAATATTCATACAAATAATATCTTTGTTAGACAGCTAGATAGCTAGGCTTATTACAATTTAATCATATAAATAGATAACACTCGTTATAGACTGTAATACAGAGAACATTTAAATATTTATTGCATTTTCTATGTATATATTGTAAATTAAATTCCTTAAATTGAACAGAATTCAGTTTCTAAAATTTTCAAGAAAATCTATATTAAAATTTTTGCGAAAGTAAGTAACTTAAATAAGTTTCTAAAGATAAAAAATTTTTTTATTTTTGAACATGATGCGGCGTGCGTGCGTGCATGCATGCGTGCGTGCGTGCGTGCGTGCGTGCGTGCGTGCGTGTGTGTGTAATATTTGCTTTGTATATCAATGTAGTATTCTATAACTCAAATACAGTCAAAAAAACTCAAATGAATCAAAAAAACGTTATAATATGTTTCATATTCTAATTTAACAGCATTCAAAATTGGTAGTCTGCAACATGAAAATTTTTAGTTTATGCACTTTCTAAATTCAAAACCGAGTATTTCTCTTACTTTTATCAATTTTGAATACTTGAGAAAAATTAAAAAATAATTTTAATTTCGAGATAAAAATTTTAATTCAAATTCACTATCTCTGTATTGTTATATCTTTTTCAAAAAAATTTTATTTGTAACAATAATATAACACAATACTTACAATGTTTTATTTTTTAAATGATATAAAGTACTATTTTTCATTTGCGACTTTAAAAAAATTGTAATCTATTCTCGCAAAAAATTGTAATCTGTTCTAAGATTACTGTCTTTTTAATTGCTGCACTCTCTGAACTGGTGCACTTCAACTTCACACAGTGCAATAAGTGAAATGAGATAAACATATATTTATTTCACTTCACTTATTGCACTGTGTGCACTGTATGCAGCAATAAAAAACACTTTATGAGTCAGTTTCACCAATGCCAGTTAGCTTAATTGGCCGTTGACTGACCAATCGCGTTTGCTGTTTAGTAAAATCGATCAATTGCGGTTGATCACGATTAAGCTTGGTGAAAGCCAAGCCCTTATATTGGGTAATTCCATTTCACGTATGATACGCATGATGTATCATTTATCCTTGCTATTCACCGAATGTCAAACAAGGATAAATGATGCATTATACACGTAATGCGTGAAACGAAATCTTAGAAGAGTGGGATAGAACGTACAAATACACGAAGTGCCAACTCACTTATTGCACTGACGTACTATATATACCGCGGTATATCGTATTTGTTTATCACTGGTTACGCGATTTATACCTTGCTCTCACGATTTTATCTTACTTGACTTTTGTGAACATTTCATTCGATATCATATTATCACAGTAAGTATTCAGGTAGTTATTGAACATCGTTTTAATTTGAAACGATAACCGGCATAGTTTTCTTTCAAAAACCTGATCGGTTCAAAAGAAATATTTCTGCTGATTTATTATGTTTGCAAATTATACAAATATTACTTATTAATAATAATAATAATATGTAATGTCCACTTCCATCAATGTACGATTAACTTCAATTTATCTCATTTAACTTACTTTTTATCTTTTTTTAGTGCTAAGAATTAGATAAAGAGCAAATTAAATTCATCTATTGTAGAATGAACCTGAATTTGCAATATTATTATCTTAGATTATATAAGATATACGTAGTGCATGATGTTGCACATATGTTACAACAGTACAGAACATTTATTTATTTTAGATGTCTTTCGTGGGAAAAGTTGTCCTAATAACAGGGGCTAGTTCAGGAATAGGTGCTGCAACAGCTATTCACTTAGCTCAGCTTGGGGCATCATTGTCGATAAGTGGACGTAATAAGGACAATTTAGAGAAGGTAGCTAAACAGTGTGAACAATCCAAGCCATTCATCGTAACGGGAGAATTAACTAATGAGAACGATGTGAAAAATATTATCGATTCGACAATCAAGCATTATGGAAAATTAGATGTTTTAATTAACAACGCCGGTATTTTGGCAAACGGTAGTATAGAGAACACAAGCTTAGAACAATACGACAAGTACGTGATAATAAGCAGATAATATATAAAAACTTTTATCAATATTGATAAACTGTATTCCATTTTGATAACACGCCGGTATAGTATCACAAAATATGTATTTTCAGGATTTTCAACGTAAATGTTCGCTCAGTGTATCAATTAACAATGTTAGCAGTGCCACATTTAATCAAGACGAAGGGCAGCATTGTAAATATCTCTAGCGTAAATGGATTACGATCTTTCCCAGGTTGTCTGGCATATTGCATGAGTAAGTCGGCCCTGGATCAATTTACGCATTGCGTTGCTTTAGATTTGGCACCAAAACAGGTATGTGTAAACATGACTATTTTCTTTTTTTAACTTAATATCATTTTTAATTATTATTGGCATTATTTAAAAATTTTTTTAATGCATAGGTGCGTGTGAATGCCGTAAATCCTGGCGTTATAGTAACAAATCTACACGAAACCAGTGGAATGGACAAAGATCAGCTTAAAAACTTTTTCGATCGCAGTAAACAAACGCATGCTCTAGGAAGAACGGGCAATGTTTGGGAAGTTGCAAAGACTATTGCATTTCTAGCGAGCGACGAGGCTAGTTTCATAACAGGAGCAACATTACCTGTGGATGGAGGTAGACATGCCATGTGTCCTCGTTAAAATCTTAAGTCGTCTGCATAAATGATACATATAATATTGAATATACACGCACGCACGCGCGTGCACGCGCGCACACACACACACACACACACACACACACGCATGCACACACAGAGGTAGTAACTAGTTAAAATGTTAAAAGTTAATAACTATAAATGGCGGACCAATCAGAGAAAAGAATATTATCCACTTTACTCTCCCTTCTTTCTCTCTGGTAAATATATTTCTCTCATAAGATTCTCTCACAAGATTTTGACAAAAACGACTTATGGTGTGACTCTTATTACATATAAGTAACTTATATGTGAATAAAAAAAGTTAATCTATATCATGTTATTTAAAGTAATCTCATTTTAAGAAAAATTTTCTTTCAAAAATTTTTTTTTATGATCTCAAAATTAACTTTTTTTAAACTTAAGTTAATTCAATCTTAACTACTTTTAGTAAGTTAATTTTTTATTCTTTTAATTTTTAACTTACTAATGCTGTGTGTGTGTGTGTGTATGTATATATATAGTGCATTATATAGCATACATTATTGAAAGATTACATACAATATTTTTATTCTATTCTATCTTCCAAGAACACATTGAAAATATATTTTAGATATATATTGTAATTGTTTGTAACTTTGTTTAAAAAAGTTGCTTTTATATTTGTATCTAGCAAAAAGAGAAAATGAAAATTCTTGTAGTACTGCCAGAATATAAATAGGATAAACAATACTCTTGGTAAATAAAAAATGTTATAAATAAATTTTAATATCTCTAATTTTATAAAGGACATTTCAAAAAAAGATAATAAAAATTTTATATTAAAATATACATTAAAAAAAAACCAACCAATATATAACATAAAATAAATGAGCAAAATATTTTAATTAAACTGAAAAACGCATTCTATTTAAAAATTTAATTCATGAAAAGTAATTTTATATTTATGTTTTATATTTATGTTTAAATATTATATTTTCACTATGAAATTATTGAAAAATTTAATTTAGACATTCAGTTGAGAGTCCATTGTAAAATCATCATTTAGTTTTTATTTTGCCAACAAAAATGGCAGTGTTAACGATTCATGTTATAATAAACACATAACATATGTATAACATGATATACAGTGTAACATATAATATAGATTGACGTAAGAAATATTTATCTATGGTACAATTTACACTTATATTGTAACTTGTTCTCTGTAAGATGATAATTTACATTGATGAATGATAATAACACACTAACAAATATAGGTCATATATAACGTATATATACAATAACTTTCTTACAAAAGTAGTATTATTTAATATGTTCACCATTTGCAATGAATCACGGATATTGCATTTTGGCCCAAATATGTAAAATAATCAATTTTATATAATTCATCAAATGCGATTTTTTATGCATAAGAAACGTTTATACATATATATAACACTAATTCTATAATATATTTTCTTTTTACATTAAAAAATTCTTGATCTTCAGAGACATACTATAACACTACAACGTAATTGTTTTGATAAAAACAACGAAATTTTCGCAAAGAAATTATTTCTTTAAGAATACTAATATTTTATTCTTCTATTATATTTATACTTAATAGTATAATATTTTTTAATTCTTTCTTATACATATACAAAAAATAGGACACCACAAATGTGGCTAATACGAAATCTCTATAAGACTTCTTTGCATCATTAATAATACAAAAAAGAAATATAAGACTATTTCTATAGTCAAAAGGTACAACATCCTATCACTGAAACTTGTCCGAGTCTCCTTATTCAATAATATGACTTTGAAATATTCAACATGTCAAAGACGATTATCACAACAATTTCCTACTGGAATTATGCACATAATTTAAAGCAGACGTTGAGAAACATCCCTGTTTTACATCTGCAGATAAGATTATCCAGATAAAAAATAAATATTTCAGCCTTTACTGGCAGGGACTCTGTTATTATTATTGTTTTTAGAATCTACTGCACTTAATGCTATACCTAATTGTGCTGCATAGTATGTCAACATAATGGATACCTAAGAAGTAAAAAAAAATCGAATATTATTATACCTTTCATAAAATTATCATATCGTTATCAAGGCTATTTTTCAGAAGCACTATGAACGTAAAGCTGCGTTCCGTTATTCAATAATATGACTTTGAAATATTTTATTCATTGCAAGTACAAAAAATTTATTGTATACATTACGTATATTATAGATTTTCAGTACTCGCAATGAACAAAAGTCTTAATGTACATACCTGAGAATAAGGTAATGGACTATGGAAATAATGAAACCCGAGCAAAGTGTCAGATATGACAAAGCAAATACTTCCAATGCAACTGCATAACTTAGTCCACGTCCACAATTCCTAATGGATAAAATATGATTAATTCTCTATATTGCATTGATAATATATATAAAAACTAATACTTGTGGCAAAGTTTTTAGATAAATGATAATTTATTGTTAGAGAAGTAAGTGGCACATATTTAAAAGGATAGAGATAACAGGTAAAGTTAATTGTTTCTGTAATTTTTATATTATTACATAAATTTACCCCGAAGAATTGTACTCTTGATATAGCTCTCCATGCCATAGTGGTAAGTAATACTGTATAAATTGGCACTCCTATTGCTAAAACCCCATTTAATCCCGGCATCAAAGCACATATAACTGAAAGCAGTACATTAACCAATTAATTAATGATAGATAGCGATCAATGAAAATTATTATCTAATCGGTTAAAAACACATATTCGCAATAATCGTGTTCATAAATCTTACCAATTAAACAAGATGTATATAGTATTACTCCGAGTGTTAAATTAAGGGGTTTAAATCCAAATGCAAATATATACATAATTTGTGCAATAGCAAACATACACATCCCTGCAGTGAAGCAATTAGGCCACACTAATAGTGCGTCACCTATGCAACTAAACACTAATCCCGTTAATATACGCCTGGAGAAGGCATATCTGCAAAGAGATGAGTATTACGTTAGCAACGCTGAAGCAAAAAGATTACCACAAAATAAAATCATCCAGCTCATTATTAAATCTATATAAGCACTTTTTACTTACTCTTTAGATAAACTAATTCCGTGCAACAGAACAAAAATAATAAGACTTATTATCGGTAAACATTTAAAACACGCCGTTAATAGAGATGGCTGTTCAGCAAGTAATACAAAATATACGGACACGCTTTTAAAGAACGGTACCAATTTTGGCCCAACGCTTTTTATCTGAAATGTAAAAATATCATTTTATTATTTAGTGCAAAAACTTGTATCGACTTGTATATGCAGAATTACATTGTAATGATAAAAAATGTATTTATATGATAATTTTAATAGACTAATTATTTTTTTCTGAGACTATGTGCGTACAAAATAAGGAAAATTAGACAACAAAAAAATTCCACAATAAATTATTCATAATTCAATTTTAACCGCATTAAATTCAAAGTTACCTATTTTCATTAAGAAGCAGCTATTTTAAAATAACTTATCTCTAAGTACGTAAAAACACATCTTTAGTCAATGAAAGATTTCGAAAACATTGTAGATTATATTATAAACATCTTTAATTAATCATTTAACTTATCATTTGATATTTCACAATTAGACAATCTAATCAAGTAAACCCGCTCATTTTATGGAATAGAATAAAACTTATATCTACTGGCAGGAGTTGAGATTAATTCTATTTTGTTTTAATTTGTTTAAATAAATGACGATTACAAATTAATTTTTAATTTATAATCACATTATCATTAACAGCAATTCAATACGATTATGAGATTATTGTAAAATTCATATTTATATATTTATTAACATTTAAAGCATATTAATTTTTTAAAGGAAAAAATAATTATATACATTAATTATTACCAAAATATTTAAATGTTCAACAAAATGTTTCCTGGTAAGCTGCTCTTTATTCATGAAACCTATCTAATGATAGTGCATGTTTGAATGAGATTTATCCGCAGTCACTGAGGCCTAATCATCGACCTAATCCAGCCAGTTACAAGATAGTATATTATCTAATATTGGTACCGTCAGGATGCACAATGGTCTTTGATATAGAGTAGTCACTTTATGCCAATACGGTAGTTTTCTCTAATAGTATTCTATTGCAACGATTGCATTGAATTGATCTTTAAGATATTTCCAACAGGATACACATAACGCGGAAATTCAGGGTTCTGACTGTTTGTACTTTGTAATTCCCGTTCATATTTTGTGATTCATTAATGTTACATGTTGCGATTTGATGATTAGTAATTTAGCTATCCGGTTATTTGAAACATTGGAAAGGAATTTAGTTTACAAAACAGAAAGAGTTTTAATTTACAAAATAATGCAAAATTATTAAAAAATAATTTTTATTACATATATTAATTCTGTATCACTTATACTTAATTATTATATATATTTCAATTGCAAAATACAAGCATATTTATAACGTTTATATAAATTATAGATAATTACATATTAAAAAAAATTCATGTAATTTTATATGGAATGAATTACATGAATTTTTTTCAGTGTGTGTGTGTAATTATCTATAATTTATATAAACGTTATAAACGTTATAAATATATTTTGCGATTTCCAGTAAATTTCCAATCATATTTAGGCAATTTTCCAGTCATAAACATGTAATTTCCATGTAAAATTACATGAATTTTTTTTCAGTGCAGTTTAAACTATTTAAAAACAAAATTTTTATATCGGCACAAAAAATGTTTATTGTGAAATGTAAATACGAAATGTAAATTATAAATAATTATCTTTATCTTCATTCAAATCTTTGTATGGGCACAAAAAAACGGTGCGCAATCCTCTGTTTTTGCTTCCCAAGAAGGATGCAAATTGTTTTAATTAACATAATTGTAACCGCGTGCCTACAATTCATCCGGAGAATCGCTAGTATTATATATTCGTTGAAAATTAGACGACTCCTCTCAAAATAATTCTTTCCTAATTTAAAATACAGTTGCTGTGACAATGCTCCGATAATTTTTATACGCGTATACTATAATACACTTTTGACGTACATGTCATAACATTATAAGTAAATGTAAATCGAATATTTATCTTTCAGTTTCAACCACTACGCGAGTAGTTACTTATTGGATTAATTCAATAAATTCTATTTTTACGCGAATATGCCGCGCTCTAACAAAGGGGCAGAGAATAACGAATACATGATTCATACAAAAGGGGAAAACAAAAAACAGCAGCAGCAGCAGCAGCAGCTTCTCTCGATTTAAATCGAAATGGCGAAAGCGGCAATTGAGACAATTTTAATTTAATACAAAATAAATAATAATAAAATAAAATAAAATAAAATAAAACAAAACTAACGAGTGTTTACGGAAGGAGGGTGACGATATAAACGTCTGCCTTTATCAGCGTAAACTGTCTTATCGCTGTCTATTGCAACCACGTCTTCTTACCACTTGTGTAGGCGATGACATCTTCGGTTGAAGGACACCAAAGGGGCGCGGGGTAGTCGGGGAGGGAGCAACGCCGTAGCAGCCGTCTATGTCACTCCGGACCGTCCGTCAAGTCCAACCGACCAAGACCGTGACAGGCCCCGCGAGTGCTGATCGTTCGCAGGCTCCCTGTTTATTTATATGACCGCTTTTCGACGCATCGCATCACACGCATGTATACTGGTGCGCACACATATACACATACACACACACACATACACACACGCATACGCGCGCATCGTGCGCCCTGCCACCGGGCCACTGTGTGTTGTGCACCACCGTCAATTACAATACATCGCCCAGGGCGGCCAACTGGCCGACGATGTCGTCCAATGCCGTCGGGACTTCAATCCAGGGCTGCGCGTTCAAAAATAGAATTTCACTGTATTTGTATGAACTTCGTCGACAATTGTTTTTATTCTTAAACGATTTATGAAATCGTTTGTATAGAGACTTTTAAAATGTAATTAAAAAAAAAAAGTAATGAAAATTTTGGAAAAATATATAATTTAAAAAGTTTGACACAATCATGTAGAATATTTTAATTAATTATAATTTCATTTTATGCAGTTAGTTGATATAAAGTAAATACAGTTTTTGAAATTAATTGTATTTTGTGTATGAAGTTTTTTTAAAGTACATAATTGAAAGGATTTTATAATCATTTGGATAATTTAAATTAAATATTTTTAAACTTATGTGTAAATAGTGTCATATCAAGTTTATTCGTATGAAATTAATCAACAATGAATTATTTCTTGAACTTATTTTCTTGTAAATTGTATACTTCGTATGAATTTAAGATTTTTGAAATTAAAAAGATAATTTTAACTTAATCAATTCTTCTTAATCTATTCTTATATTATGAAGTTAATCGACATAGCTGATTAATTAATTCGATCACTTGTCGAATTATTTTTAATTGCATTTTAAAAATCTTCACATAAAATACAAATAATGAAATAATTCATAAAAAAGTTCGTACGAAATCATTCATTTGATAGTAATTTTTTAATTAATCGTAATTAAATATTTTGTAGTTTTTTTCTTATTAAATTAACCTGTTAGAATTGGCCAATTGGCAGCGTGGACAATCAGTGCCATTTACAAGATAAGTCTGTTCGTGCTTGCACTTTCGGCACTCAGAATCTTTACTTTCTCTCTCTCTCTCTCTCTCTCTCTCTCTCTCTCTCTCTCTCTGTTTGTCTCTCTAATATTCAAATATTATATATTCATATATATATTCATTTTATCCTACAGATGAATATATAATTGTTACATCTCAATGGGATTTAATAAATTTCATATAACATGTTTTACTTTGTTTTTTTAATTTCTCTTCGGGTGAAGAAGGAATTTAAGCTTTCAATCCTTCGGTCCTTTCTTTTCACAATTCTACGCTGAATATTTCATTGGTTAATTTCTCTAAATGGCTGCGTTTAGCGAATATTTTTTTAGATCATCCAATCAGCATTTTAGATCTGGAAGAATACATCAATAGCAGTGAGCACTCACTTAACTGTTAAGGCTCATTTCCACTAACATAGATTAACTTTAATTTCGGTTCAATTTACTCTTCGTCTTTTTCTAGTTCTAAAGATTAGAAAAAGACGAAGAGTAAGTTGAACTGAAATTAAAGTTAATCTACGTTGGTGGAAATAAGCATAAATTCGCTGAAGCAGTTTATGGATAAGCCTTTAGGAAAGTTTACAAAATAAAGATCGATTTCGCACAAAATCAACGATTCGCATTGGATGAAGAAAATCGAATTTAAAATCGAAATTGAGTTCGACCTTCGGAATCAAATATGGCACAATCCCAGTGTTCAACGCAATAATTTACTTTCTTATAATGAGATAAGCAGAATTAAACATTTAATGTCTATTTTTCGCTGTAAAAAAAATCTAAAATAACGTAACGAGATGGCGAACCGTGTTAATTCTATATTAAACAACCTGTTGACATCATATAAGAATTGGGTCGTAGCGAATCCGCAATTATTGACAGATATCGAGGCTACTGTCAGATGTTTATCGTATTTCAGTTTTGGTTAGAAAATAAGTCGTCGAACTTTATTGTTACGTTTCACCACGTATATATCATTAAATGTATGTTCTTTGCAGGACAATTGCGCAATTCGACTTTGGCCGTGGAATTGATTTATTCCATGCCAAATCTAATAGTGCTCTGCAATGATTTGCTTATGTACAGCAGCAAACGTCAGCATTTTAAAATACCTCAGTTTGACTCAAAAATTAAAATTTGGCTAACTGTGGTGGAGTACACTGAGACCTTTCTCGAAGTGTCAGCTAAGAAATTATGGGGGCCAAAAGGAAAATGGCTAATAATCGTAATTATACAATTATTTAAGTAAGTATTGAGCCATTCTTTCATTTTTTGTCGATAAATTAATAACGAATTCAGTCTGTACACTTGTATTACAGTTATGTTCATTTCTACTGACACATTTCTACAAATTTCTTGTTTTATTTACTCTTTGGCCAGTATTCATAGTTGGTTCTTATTTTAAGACTGTCTTAAGTCGTTAATGTAGCCCTCTAATTAGTTTGTGACTTCTTAAAACTGTACTTAAGACAATCTTGAATATAAGATCTAACTATGAATACCGGCCTTTGTCTTTTTTCTAATTCTTTTCTAAAATTGAAAAAAGATACAAAGTTAAACCAAGATTAAAGTTAAGCTAAATTGATAAAAATATGCAAAGCCTAGTTCCATCAATATAAAATTAACTTTAATCTCAGTTCAATTTCTTGATTTTTTCTAATTCTAGAAATTAAAAAGAGATAAACAGCAAGTTAAACCGAAATTAAACTTGTAGGACTTGTAGTTAACTGTTCTACCTTTTGGTAAAATTTTATTCATTAAATAAGATTACTCAATCATGTATATTGCCAGATTTACCTAATGGGTAAAATTTACCAAAAAGTGGAACAAGTGGCCCTTAATTACATTGATGGAACTGAATTTGTTTTTTTATTTCTATACGCTAGACTGCACTGAAACTATTTTCTCACTTTAGCTAAATCAAATTACATATATTTTACTTTGAATTCTCTCTCTCTCTCTCTCTCTCTCTCTTTCTCTCTCTCTCTAAAGTGTATATTAATTCAACTCTAGAAAAACAGATCTAATATTGCATATTAAAATTGAGCTATCATGAAATAGTAAAGTTAAATGTAAAAACATATAAATATTAAAAAAATTAAGTATCCAATAATGATATTGACAGAAATTGCATTATTCACTACTATTACTTTATTATCAAAATTATATTATATCTCTACATTTAGATATTTTATATAAACCAACCTTTAATGTATGCTAATCCAGCATAATGCAGATGACAAAATTCATCAAGTCTCCTTGTTGATCAACATTTATCTTTCCTAGGTCTGTATTGCGACTGCTATTAATTTATACATATAAGGAACGTGTAACGAAAAGCCCAGCGATATCGCCTCTTAACAGAGAGAAATTCAATAAAATCGACAATGTGCAATTGAAGGAAGGCTTTATGCTGAAAAGATCAGGCACTATTGTTAGAAGTGTAAAGTATTCTACTCCTATAGAATTACGAACGTGGAAAGCTTTGCCTTCTATTACAGACGAGAACGAGAATCTAACTAAAAACCAGGAATCTGAGAGGAATCTTAAACTAGCTGAGGTCAGTTAAAAAATATAGTACTGTCATGTGATTAATAATAAGTTTTTTAATATAATAAAAAAAGTATCTCAATTTATATGTAATTTTCAAAATATATGTCATGGGTGAAGTTGCTGTACAATGTCAGCATTGCATAACCCAATTGTGCAATGCTGACATTACTCAGGCAATACTGGCATTGCATACCATACGGATTTCGCCTTTAATATACTAATGTAAAAAAAAAGATATAGGTAACAAAATATTTAACTTCTAGAGTCTTTATGTGACAAAGCCACTGCTTCATCTAGGATGTATGTACATTACTAACCAAAACCGTTGGCCACCGTGGATATTATCACTTATTATCGATATAGCCAGGTACACAGCATATTGAACTATTATACGTAATTGATTAATTGTGATATTTTATGTAATGAAATTATTATTTGTGCAGTTTAAATATCTTCAATCGTTGTGCCCAAAAAGCATTATTAAGTAAGGAGGAAGAAGAAGAGCTCGTGCGTCGAAGATTGAGTTTACTGTTGTACATTTTGAGATCGCCGTTTTATGACAAGTACAGCCGTAATAAGATAGATGCACTGCTTGATACGATATCTAGTTCCGTACCTCTTGCCAAGTATTTGACAAGTGCTGTTAAAAAGAATTTACCGTATATGCAAAGTACGTATTTTTACATGTGGTCGCGCTAACTTACTGATATAAGCTCGCTACGAGAAATACATAAGTTAAGTTTTTCAAATACGAAAGCAGCATAATCTAAGCATACCAATTTACTATTGGAAGATTATCAAGAAAGAGACTTATGTTATTTTTATATTTTTCTCTATTATTATACAAGTATATTGTTCCGGGATGAATTTAAGCGATGGTATTTATGATTGTTCTGTATATTTTATTTCATTAATTTATAAAAATAAATTATATAAAGATCATATAGAAAAGGCATTTTTTTTCTTCAATAATCATTAATTCGCTTTGATTAATTTATTAGCGTTCTGATTAATTCTAACACGTAGCGTGAAGCGAAAAGAAGGACGGCTTATTCTTCGAGTATTTTGACGAATTTTCCCGATTCCTATTACAACTTTATACAATTTGGATAATTTTATCACGATTGGTAAATTTAATGATTTATCATGATTGATAAATGACTTTAATGTATTTTTATTTTATTTTTATCAAGCTGAATTTTTTTAAAGACTAAACGGTTTAATAAATTCAGCTTAATAAATTTTAATAAATTAAAACAAACTATATATCAGTTTTTTGTGACTCACTTATAATGATTCTGTGTTATAACATCTATCGCTCATGTAACAATCCTTTTATCGTAAATATCAGATAGGACAAATTGTTATATCACTGTTTGTGGTACAATATTTTCTTACAACAATGTATTTTAATACATAATATTGAATGAGATCAGCGATGCGTGATTCTGCTCGTACCAGTAACTCCTATTTATTGACCTTCATTGTTTAATTGTTAAATTGAGATGACCTTCTCTCCACGTCAAATAAATGTTTTAATCCTCTGGAAAGACCGCTGAGCACTATTACTAGTGCACACATGCTATGGATTATTACATGTAATTATGATCGAAAGCAATTTGTGTGTGTGTGCTTGTCTATTTTTTTCACGTAGTATCAGATATTTTACACGTGATAGTTCTGGAAAACCCACGAAGTGTCGTTTTTAGCGTGCCGTGAAAGGCCGTGTATTATATCTCGTCCGGCTGGATGCACAAGTTAATATGTTCCCCTGAAACTTACGAAAAACGGAAATGTACTGTTTCTCGCAACGCGCTGATGCATCTATGTGTATATATGTACATATATATAAATCTCGTAAGTTGAATTTTATATTTTATTTGTTGTGAATCAGTTTCGTTGACAAGAGTGTATACTATGTTTTAATTTATTCTCTCTTTGATCTCTGATTTTCAAGATGAATAACGTCTTGTTGTTCGTACTGTCATGCCAACTATTGCAGCAAATGTTTGTTTTTGCACAAAGTATGTATTTTCTTGAATATATACATCGCTCTTTTGTCATAACAACGACATTACTAATAAGATCAAGTTTTCGAAAAAATGAGTCTGAATGTCTCAAAATATTAAAATTTTGTAATGACTTTGAAATGCAATTTTGATAAAACAACTGATTATAAAGGAATAAAAGTATATTTTTTTCCTTTGTATTTTTAATCTTTTTCTGTAAGCAACTAAAAAATGACAATTAAGACAATTTGACGTAACAAATAAGCGATATTATTGCTATAAAACTTGAAAAATATGAAATATTAACGATAAGCTGCAAAATTTAATAAATAAAAATAAAAAATAACAGGGATAATAAAAAAATTATTAATTGCATGAAAAATATTAATATACCTGAAAAATTTACAGTTATTTAAATGATATCAAAGAATTTGTAAATAGAAAAATAAATTTCTTAATTTATAATGTATTTAATTTCTAAATTACTGTGTCAGTTTCCTAATTTTATTATATTTTTACAGACGAATGTGACTGCGTTTATGGAACTATTTGTCCCGATGGCACTACTGGTGGCATTGACATCAGAGTAGTGACTCCGGTAATATATTTCAGTTCATTGAAAAAAATACTATAACGATAGAACTCATTTGAAATATTTACATATATTTGTAGATAAATTAGAAAATATAGATAAATTATTTATTCTATATATATAAATTTTGCATGAAAAAAGTAAATTACTATTTTTACATAAATATATCTAACGATCATTGTATAGTATATATGTATATATTATATATATATCAATATACTATTATATTAACTACAGTTTTATACTTTTATAGGACACAAGTTGCCCTACTGGATATACATATTGCTGTGTAATCGATGACGACGATGACGATGATAATAGTATTCCTTGTGGTTTACGAAGAATATCATCGCAATCACCGGGACCAGGATTGGCCGCTTACGGTGCATATCCTTGGATGGTGGCCATTTTAACCATCCAAGGTAATTATATCGGAGGAGGAGTGCTTATCAGTTCAAGACGTGTTCTTACTGTTGCTCATAAGGTGGCAGAGTTTGAGTAAGTTAAAAATTTAATATTAAATTATAAAATTAAATTTTTGAAGAGAATATGCCTCTTAGGTCCGGTTACACTAACGTTACTTTGACTTTAAGTGAGACTTGAAACTCTTCATTTCTTTCTCTCTTTCGTCTTTAAAGAGAGAAAGTGAGATTTTAAGCCTCACTTAAAATTAAATTAACGTTGATGCAATCAGACCTTACAATATTTTTTTATAAAGAGAATAATTTCTAAAACTATAATGTGATATAGATTTTCAATATCTTATTCTTCACATGTGTATATTAAAAATGTGTTACAGTAATAGCGACATTATAGCGAGATTAGGTGAGTGGAGTTTTGAATCTGAAAATGGTCAGAGTATAAATATCGGCATCTCAGAAATTTCTGTGATATCTACTTTTAATTCGCAAAATCTCCACAACGATATAGCAGTGCTTAAACTAAGTTCGCCTGCTCCTATTGCAAGTAATGGTAACATTAATACAGCATGTTTGTCAACTACATCAGTTACACCGGGAACAAAGTACGTATAATGGATATATTCGGTCTAAAATTACTTTCAATTCTGTCTACATTTGAATTCTATCAACAAAATGCATAATGATCTATTGTGATTAATATATTAATTTTTGTATTATATCGTTCTGTTAAATGCCGAAATGTCCCTCCATATATAATTTTATAAATATGTCGCGATTATCTAATATTTCATTATTTCAATATTTTGAAGGTGTTGGATGTCTGGCTGGGGGAAAGATGCCTTTAATAACGGACAGTTACAACCTACTCTAAAACAAGTAGATTTGCGTGTATTGAGTAAGGCGGATTGCCAAGCGGCCCTTCGAGGGACCAGACTAGGACGCAACTTTGTCCTTCACAACAGTTTCATGTGCGCAGGAGCGGGACAGAACAAAGATGCATGCACTGTAAGAAATATGACATATTGTCTCTTGCAAAGTAATGAATATTGCATAGCAATCTGGATCACGAAGTTATTTTTCAATAATTTAAAGTATTCATTAATTCTAACAATATCACTATGAATTTCCTTTAAAGGGCGATGGTGGTTCACCGTTGGTGTGTCCAACATCAAACGATCAGTATGTAGTTGTTGGGCTGGTATCATGGGGAATAGGTTGTGGAGATGAAGGAGTTCCTGGTGTATACACTGATGTACTCTCTTTCTATAACTGGATCATGCAACAATAACGTAACCCCTGAAAATATACATATATGTATCTTAAAAAAATTAAATAAAACTATATGTCACAACTATTGTCACAAATATCAAATTAAATTTTGTAAAAAAACTTGTAATAAATTATTAATGTATATCAATATAAAATATCTTAAAATAATTGTCACAGCACTTCTCGCAAGTATTGCATAAATATTATAAGGAAAAACAATTAATATACGTCTGATAATTTTCTTTTATAATTGCTTAAATCTATAAGAAATACATAAAAAATATACAGACTTAACATTTAAGAATTATATCCAGGAAAGAATACATAAACATAACGAAGAGATTTGGTACTCTTGCTTATAAATTTGCGTCCTAGCTTATAAATTACGTGTTACAATCAACGCAATAAAAATTACATATAAATAAAGAGTTTCTTAAAGTGGGATTTTATAAAATCACATTGTCAAATCAATATACAAATGAGATTTAAAAAATACTTAGCTTAAATTACATATTTTATGCGATAAATTATGCATCAGTCGCAAAATCTTCTAATTTTGAAATTTTTTTCCAAGAAATTTATAGTAAAAATTTGAAATTTTATTATTTATATCCGAGCATATAGAGCATATAGAGCATCATATAACGTAATATATTTGGTATTAATATGCCTTTGGGTTTTAATTTTTTATCATGTATCTTAATCATTTACTCTAAGTAAATTGATGGCAAAGATGGAAAACAGATTTCGATATTCGCCAAACTATTTCAAAAAGGAGGAAAAATTTATTAATAAATTTTAATTTGTAAGATTTCACGAATGTATTAATTTATCAATTATAAGCAATTGCTATAATATGTCATTCAACCACTGCCATCAACTATGATATTAATGAATTTTATGTAGATAGATATTTATTGTATATTTGTACAATAAATCATGACGCATCTCGCGTATTTTACTATGGAGGTAGATATATTTGATAATGCAATGAGAGTTCAGACAGTTGGTGCATTAACGTGAGTGTGGGGAACTTGGACGGAGTGAAACGATGTTGGATGCGAAGCGGGCAGTGATAACAAGTGTCCGCGTTCCATTTCATTCACTTCTTGCTGCTCCGTTCCTCCTATAGAGCCTGTCGAACGTGCCAAGCTATTACGCTGTCTGCACATGTACGGTGTCTCTCCAGGTGAAGGAGTCTCACGACCCTGTATTATATAAGTTATTGTCTATATAAATCTTTACAAATCTTGTCAGTAAAACTAAGACAAGAACAAAACGCGAAAAAAATTAATTTTTACAAAAGACGTTTGTCACAACATGTATTAATAAATACGTATTAACAATTCTCTTTTATCTTGTTAATCAGACACAAATGTAAAGATAGAAATTTACCTACAATTTTGATTTCGTATTGTTGATGATTGTATCGCTCTTATTATAATCTGGTTGAATTTAGATTTAGATAAATAATGTGAATTGAATGCAAAACAGCTAGTTAACTTTTCAAACAACTGAAGCAAGTTCATTGAAACATACAAAATGCTTTTTTTCTTTCACAAACAAATATAACTATACTTTCAAATGGATGAAGTACTAAAATTTAGATTCCCAGATGTAGTAGACGAACTATCGCGATCTATAGTCGTATTTGATTCTGATTTTGTTCCATCTAAGCTTGGTCCAAGGTACTTTGAATTGGGATACACAGATGGAGCACTTATATTTCTTTCCATACTATACTAAGAAACCCCGAAGAATATACGGATGATGAATGATGCAAGGATACGAAATTTATGATACGGTACTTACTTGTTTGGAAGGACCACAGCACGTCGCGTGATTGCATGGCTTATCAGTCTTTGGACAATCCAACACGCAATCTTCCGTGGGAGTCTCTTTAATTTCGCTATTAGAATGATACTAGAATGATAGAAACATATTTTTAATAAAAATATCTAACAACAAAAATAATTCAAATTAGTGTCAATCATAAGCCATGAGTGAAACATTATTTATCTGTGAGTCGTAGATAGTTTGGTGAACATTCATCTTACGCATCATTAACTTTGAACAAAAGATCGTTAACTTCGCTTTAAACGTACATGTGACTCACGGATAAACTTTTTAATCATAACTTACAAACGTAGATAAAAAACGCATTAAAAATATATTGCTCAGAATAACAAATTGCACTAGGTGCATTTACACCTAGCTTTTTTACACAAATTTTTCTATCTAATTCTGTTTTGTTTGGCGTATGTAAACAGATTTTTTTTTATAATACTACTATATGTGTGTATTTACTTACGTCAATAAATTCTGGTTGAATAGTCGTCGAATGTATACCTTCGTTATGGAAAAATTCCTTAACCTGTTCGGCAATTTTCATATATTCTGAAAGATTTCTACATCTTATATGCGCACTAGCTATAATACGATCACCCGCCAATTGCCACACGTGGAATTCATGTACAGCTAATACACCATCTATGTTTTCCAACAAACGTTGCTGTATAGCATCGACCTGTACAAATAAATTTATAAATCAAATAATGTATATCATAAATATGTACCATGCACTTTAAAAATCGTGTTATTGCATTATACAAGCCAACAAATATTACTTGAATGTGTGTTGGCACAGTCTGCAATAGAATTAAAGCTGATTCTTGAAGTAACGGCCACACTGAACGCAGAATAAGAATGACTAATAAAAGCGACAGTGCAGGATCAATGTAGAATCTATATAAAACATTTTTTTAATTATATGTTTAAAATTCTTCAGTATCTATATATATACAAATATGTAGTATATAATTACCTATACTTCCAATTCGTTAGCCATACAATTAGAGCAGACACAATTACAATGACAGATCCCAACGCATCGGAAAGTACATGAAGAAATACCCCTCGCATATTCATCTGACTTGCATCATGCGAATGGCCATGCGCTCGTTTTACTTGGGGTGTCGAAGGTCTATAAGCTTCGTCATTTTCATTATCATCAGTGCCTACCAAAGTACTTAATCTATTATGACTTCGAGATATACCATGCGAGTGACCATGAGCACTTCCATGTTCTGCAATAATTGCACTTATAAGTATCTATTAATATAAAATAGATTACTTTTATCTTATAAGATATATAATGAAAAAATCGATTAATTGAATTAAATTTAATTTAAGAAATATTAATTGTTTTTCAAATAAGTTATAAAATACATTAAATATGACAGATTATTCAGAGTTTCATGAAATGAAATAAAATAATAAATTTTCCCGTTTAATATCATTAATATTCATTTTTTGAAATCGAATGTTTTTTAAATACTCGGTTACAGTTCAGTAGACATCAATAAGATAACAGATATTGATACTTTTCTTCCTTGACGAATTTTTAACATTTATATTATAGCTCGGACATTTTTCTCTCTTTGCAATCTCAAGATATAGATCCAGTAATTTTATAAAAATTTTTTTTCTGTCTTATATTTGCAAAAACTTTGTATTTTAAATCTTGCTGCAATAATACATTTGCTAACCATGTACATTTCATAATCAATTTTTCTTTATCTTAACTCAAGATAAAATCTTTCGAGGACTAATAATAAGATAACATCACGATAGTATTGAACAAAGAATCGTATAGGCAAATTGAATATACAATATTGTTATCCATAATCATAATTAAGTTATCATATGGTTAGATACGAAAGATGATAATTAAGATATGAAATACAAATAAAATGCTTTACAAATATTATCTAACAGAAAAAGAAAGTGAAAATAGAAATTTCTGAATGAGTATTCTTCTGTATATTCTTCTAAATATACAAATATTTAGTATAAGCAATTTTTATAATTTTACACTTCTATATAATAACAAGACAACTTTAGAGAATCTTTAAAACAAGGATAAATATCTACATATAAAAACAAATGTCACATTTATTTATACTTTGAACAGTTTAAATTTTAAAACAAATAAGTTGTATGATACACACTATACTCACCATGGAATAAACATAAACCTATCACATTCACCAGCAGACCAAGTCCCCCAACTCCGACCAACAGTTTAGCTTCATGTATCTCTTCTACCTCGATAAATCTTTTACATGCTTCTACAGTAATACTAAAACATAAAGCGACCAAAAACACGGCATTCACTAAAGCTCCTAATACTTCGGCTCTGGCCCAACCAAATGTGTTTTTGGACCATTTCTTTGGTGACATCTACAACATCAAAAATTTAACAATATTAAATATAATAAAATATTGGCCATAAAATTTTTCAACGAGAGATCTATTTTTTAGCTGCTTTAACTTTTTGCGTCTTTTCTTTTTTTTCCTTTTATGTTGGGCTATGTTTATATTCTCGCCTGAGTGCCACCCAAGTATAATTTGGTACAACATGTTTGTTGTACCAAATTTGTTTACCGAATGGTAAACAAGAATAATATAATACCTGAGGAACACTCGGATGTGAAGCATATAAACTTATAAACGCGTTTGTAGAGAGAAAAAGAGAAAAGATGAACCGTGCAAAGAAGTTGAGCTAAAAAGAAAAGATCTAAAATTCAAAACAAACTGCAGAACTTACCTTCACCGAAAGAAATGCTACCACTAAAGCGGCTACATCTGACAACATATGAAAACTATCTGCTATTAAAGCCATCGAATTGGTGACATAACCAACTACGATTTCGACTAAAAAAAATAAAGCTGTCAGCCATAACATTGTCAAGAGACGACATTTTTTTCCTGTATAACGACCCATGGTATCTGTGTAGACCTGAAAACATCAGAAAAATGAGTATTTTGCAGAATACATCATATGCATTGCCTCAAAATATTCTCCGCAAGAAGCTTCTAATAATACACACTTATTTTTATAACTCTCTGAATCTATAGACGCAAGTATAAAGAACAACATAACAAATTGAATAATTTATTACAAACGCTAAAGAATAAATGTTACTAGAAATTATCTTTCTTATCACGAATATCATAATGTCAAATTAACTGATAAAGACGAGAAAGTAACGTCGGATACAGAAATTTATCCTCTCACTACTCAAAATATCGACAACTGATGAAAAACTTATCACGATGCGAGAAATTTAATGAATTCCTATTCACTTTTGCTTCCGTGGTCTTTGTTTGTTTATCACGCGAATTTCAGACGATTATCTGAGCGCGAGAAACGTCCCCCCAATATACGCGAAAGGAACTCTCTTATCTGATGCTCTTACGATCGAGGACGAAGACGACGAGAGATCGCGCGCAATGTACACGTGCGCTCCAAAAGTCACTACACAGTAAAACAATTTCCTTATATCTATTTACCATGAATCCGGTAATAGGGGGGAAAGGAAAAAAGGAAATAAATATGAGTCACAGCGGAACGACAAGATACGTGATTCATCGCATGGGGAGAGAATAAACCCGTCTTTTTAGCTGAAACCGTTTGTAAGTTCACCTTTTCTCCCTTCTATCTCCAAAGTCGAGAGAAAAGAAGAAAAATTGAATCGTATAAGAAACAACAGGATTTAGCTAAAAACATCAGGGGGTCGATTGCATATCTTGAAACGAGATAAAAATTACAAAAGTGAGCAAATTTATTAGGTATTGACCAATGACATTATGACTATTCTTCTAAATTCGCTCGCTTTTGTAATTTTGACCTCGTTTTTAAGAGACACAATTGACTTTCTATCTTAATCATGCGTTGCAAATCTTTGATGTCACAAAAAGGGCTACATTAAGTCTGTCCTTTTAGATCTAACTGAACCTTTTTCACGGTATATCTTTTTTTTTCTGAGAAAAAAAGAAAAAAGATGAACTGTGTAAGAGGTTCATTTAAAAAGAAAAAGTCTAATCAAATCGAAGAATTTTTGAGAGTGCCGATGGGATTATATTTAAGTTTTTTTTATCTGAACATCAGATGAACTCCACGTTTCCAAGGTGAAGAAAAAAGGAGGAAAGATGAACTGTGCACAGAGATTCAGCTAAAAAAAAAACAGGCCTATTTTGCAGCGAAAGAAAGCCGGTTCTGAGTAAAAATTTTCGTGACCAAAAACAGGCTCTCGGGGATAATAGAAAAGCACTAACATTACCATTTCGATATGAATATCCGGACGTTCGGTCTGTAATGCGTAATTAACTTACAATTCTTCGAGCGTTTCGCAGATACATCTTGCGAAATGTATTCTATATGTATACGGTATAAAATATAAGTTGTACAAACGCGTACACACCCATACACATATTTTTGCCAAACAAAAAGTGGTCGATAATATCAATGATCTCCGATTATCTCCAGGGTATCGATCATGCAACTTTTTCTCTAGAGCGGAAAACATGAAAAGTGAAAATTTTTTGTTATATTGTATGTCACACATATACACACATACACACGCAAAAAATTTTTACTTTTCATGTTTCCGCCCTAAGGAAAAAGTTACATACTCATTGATTCCCAGAACCCATCAATCAACACTCTACGGTTATTTATTATCCATAAGATCGATGATGTCATCATCAACGTTCCGAGTCAGCGAGGAAGCCAAAAAAAAAAAAAAATCACAAGGGCGGTGAAAAAAAGAAAAAGAGAAGGTACGCTTGCCGCACTTACCTTCGAGGGGAAAATTCGTCGCGCCCGTTCGCCGTCTTTGCCTTTCGCGTTCGCCACCGATCGTTCGATTTATCAAGTGACCCTAATTGAACACGGCGCGTGAAGAACGTTCCTGGACATATTCCGTCGCGCGATCACGCGTACGCACAAAGCGCATCGCTGGCAGGTACAGACAAGGCACACGACAAGGACTGACAACGCACTGTAGCGCCCATGGCTAAACTGATTTTCTCTTTTCCACGCTACGATAAACAAGGCAGACGAAGACGCTGACCTGCGTTCGTAAAACTCCGTAAAGTCTGCACTCTGCCGACCGACCAATCGCGCGGCGTCGTAGGGAGAATTGGATTTTCTGCGCATGCGCGGTGAACGCCACATCAATGAAGTACCTAACGCGAGTAAAAAGGGTATCACTGTGTGGCCGTATAAAATTATACATATAAAAATTTCTTTAATTTATAAAAAATATATACTTATATTCAAACATGTATACATAATTATATATACACGCGTCAATTAGGAAAAATTCACAATAATAATTTACATTCGATAAAATACATAATTATACATACACGCGTCAATTATGAGAAGTAATTTATATTCAATAATTTATATTTTTAAAAAAAGTGAGAGATAAATTGGAAGGAAAAAAAAAATAAAATAAATGAAATAGAAATAATTTCAAATAAAATATATGACACAAAGTAGACTCTTGTTTGTCCTACCTTTGTTCCTATGCTGTTTTAATGCTGTTTTAGCTACTAGGAACAAAACTATATATATTTTCATTCATAACTCTGTTCTTCTTGTTTACTTTAATTAATAGTATGTATTCTAATGTATACTTATTCTATTTTAATCCCGTTTTTATCCAGTATTAAGCTCGTGTTTTATCATTGTGATCTGACAAATTACCGGTAGAAATTGAGAAGAATCTACCATAATTAACTTAAATAGAGTAGTATTCTACAGATTTCATTTGGTGTTTGCTGGTAATCTGCCATCATATCCGCGGTTAGCAGATTGTATTCTGTCGACAAAATTTCTAGAGAATAGATACTTCGCAAAATCTGTCTTTGATAGATTGCTATTTTGGCTTTCAACATTCCATTTTGCAAATATGAATTATTTCCAAATTTGTAAATTGTCCTATGTAAACCTGAAACAGTTCGTATACAAAGTTCTTAAAATTAATATATATGTAATATTGCTCAGATTGTTAAGAAAATAATGCCATGCGTTTCGAAAATAAATGTAAAATTCGTAGGAAGCAATGTATATATATGTATATATATGTATATATATATATATAGCGAGAGTATTGTATCTTTATTATTTCAAATATTTGTAGCACAGGCACAATACGTTCAACTTGTCGCTTCCGAATAAAATCGGAATCGATCATTATCAATCGGTCTAATCGTCAGACATATGTAATACCACATATTCATAACGACGCGAGGTGTTCAAGAATGTTCACTTTCGAAAATCTATGCGTGAAAACATACCTTCCTCTTCTTCTTTTTATTTTTTTCCGATATGCAATTCCGTAGCGGTTTCGGTAATATTCGCGATTTCTTATATAAAAATTTTATAAATAAAATGTACAATTGAAAACCGGAAGAGATACAAAATCGGATGCATAAACAACGTAAGTACATATTAAAGTTCTACAAAAACTTTTATTTTTAAAAAATTGAACGGAACGCGTTATGTATGGTAGGCGTTTAACTCGGCAGTGGTAAAATTTGTTTGTAGTCAATATGATAAAGTTTTTAGGGACGTGTACATATAAATTGTTTATATTTTCCTTGTAAAAGATTGCGTCATGTTTGACGAAATTATTTATTATTTAGAAATGTTAATTAAAAATTAAAGAAAGTAAACTTTCAAAAAGTCTAATAAATGCACCCAAAATATAGAATTTATAAACTTCATTTCAAACAAAATATTAGCTATATCAGAATTAGATATAATATAAAATACATATACGTGCATCCACATAAAAGATATAAATATTATATACATAAAATATAACAAAGTTCATAATACAAAATCGATTTTTACATATATAATTTTCGCTTTGTCATTTTTTAAAATCAATCTAATTTTGTATTTATATGAAATGTAACTATTTTTGGAGTATTATAATTTAATATTTAATAAATAAAACAAAATAAATATAGTTAAATAGGACTAAGAATAAAAAAATCCAGTTAAAAAGATCGATTTAAGTATACTTTTAAGATGTATATAATATGAATAAGAAAAAAATAGTTTACATATAAAAAAGAGTTATGACACTTCAATTTTCTTTTTCCTCTATTCTTTTTACATTTATTGAGATCGATGTAAACGGGTTCGTGTTTACACGTAAATATATACATTAAACGTTTAATATTTCTTTCTAGAAATAAAATTCGAAGTTACCATCCATAGGATGGGATGAGTTTATTACAAATTTCACATTAGAGTAAAAAGGTATTAGCACCACTTCCTAAAAAAACAATTCACCGGAATATATATATATTCAGAATTCCGTGAACATAAAAAATTATACTTATTATTACAATATCGATCTACTTAATTCATTCTATAAATGCTTGTTTTTCACTAAAATGGCAGAATAAGAAACAAAGAATTATAATATAAATCTCTAAAACTTAATTTTACATTATGTATATTTAACTTCGATAAAAGATGATATTCCGAATGATAACAATAGTAATGCCAAGATAATGAAAGAATATATTGGGACTGCCAATTTGTTTACAATAAAGAAAACGTTTCTGATGAAAGAAATTAGATAAAAAAATAAAAATTTTATTTAAATATCATGGAAGAAATTTTTTTATATATTATATAATCTGTATCATGCGAGTTGTAAAAATAAAATGCAACATTTCCAAACCTCAATACGCATTTTCGTTACAGAATTTATTACGATTTACTGATATCTTTTTCAAAAATAAGTGTATTTTGTAATAGATGAATAAGTATAACTTTTTTTTAAACAGTATTTGGCGTTTCAGTTCAGAGTAGTTTAAATGTGCACTCCCGTAAAAATGAGATGTGATTTCTTTTTCTTTTTTGCAGGCTTTTTCGCTTAGCTCTGTGGTACCACTGCCGGGTTAAGGATGAACAGGGTCCAGATTACCATACATTTGAATTTCTTACAAAGTCACATTTATTATCTCGATTTAGCTATCTCAGCATCATCGATAATACGAATCTGGTAATTCTATATACAATCTACCGAAATAAACGCAATAATCGGTAGTAATAATAATAGCGTCTTTCAAATCTTTTCGAAACTCCTTCTCCCTTCTTTTACTTTCACCTCGTTGATATATTTTTCTTTTTTTAATAAGTGTGCTGAAAAATCGGTATAAATGTAACCTACGAAAAGGAGTAATATTTACCGCAAAAATCGTCAATTGTAGCTTAGACAAAATTTGGAAGAACTGTAACGCCGTTTTTTTTCTTCTTTACATTTTCCTATTTCTACTATTGCCAACGCTATTTTATATCCGGTAGTTTTTTTTTAAATCGAACGGATACTCGTTAAATATATTTTATTTTATATCACGAGTATGAGGTCGATTGTACATGTCACAGTTTACAGCTCGAGCACCATATTTGGCTAATGTCAATAATAATTAAAAGCAAATTGAACAAATAAAATTTCGACAAGTCTAAAATCACTACTTCATTTCTCTTTCTTTCTCATTCACTCTCTCTTTTTGTCTCAATTTGCTATCATTTACGCTACGTTGCAACATTATCGATAAACTTCGATTGTGATATTAAATACAATCTAATGCTAATCACTTACGTCTAAATTACTACAATCGGGTATTATTAACGATGAGCGTTCAATTAGTTTCTCTCACTGCATCTCGCGATGTTGGCTACTATGGCACTTGATTAATACTGATGCGCTGTTTTTGATCCCCCTAAACTTCTATACCTTACGTGCTATCATCACGGCTAACAATAAATTTAATTCAAACAACGATTCCCTATCTTATCTATCAATATTCTCAACTGTCCTAGCGACCAACATCGTATTCGAAACAGCAGTAAAATTCGTTTATATAAAGTGCTACAGGTCTTCCATAATTTTTCTAAGATAAGTAGTAATTACTTCGTAAATAGTTTTGCTAACCAGCGACCGTCCGCCCTACTTGGCTTGGGCTGGGATCGGGGAGACGCAGGGCGGCGGTATGGTATCTTTCTTTTTGATTGGTATTGATCTAAATCTAGTATTTGGACGAAGTGCGAGGATGGGTCGTGCGTGCTTTTGCTTCCTAAATCGAGCGTGCGCAAGTTCTTATAATCTCTTTTTTTTTTATTTGTAGTCGTAAGCTTTACTTTCTTGTTTCCTTGACCAGAATTACGATTTATCTTCGTTAATAATTAATTTACTCGATACGTATATTCTCAGAAAAGAAGGAGAAAAGAATATTATTATTGCATGTGTGTGAAAAGAATAGTGGCGGAAATCATGGAGCAGCCCTGAGAGAGAGCGAACAACGCATCTGGGAATAGTGCATGTGCGCCTGTGTATCTGTATATCTGTATATGTATTGTTGTGTGTTGTGTGTGTGTGTGTGTATGTGAGTGTATTCACAGACACATATGAATCTCATGAGAATGAATATTTCACTCAATGTGTAAATTGCGAATTTACTTATAATTTACTCATTTAACGTTTGCTTTAACCTCAAGTCTTAAGAGTCGTGTGACGCGAATCCGCGCACCCGTGCCTCGAGTTTGTATACAAGTGACAACCTTCTACGCTGAATATCGACACTTCTGTAACAGAATCAATAGATTTCGTCACATGAGACGCATATACATTTCACGACAACGTTGGTTGTGCGAAATTTTACAAAATCCTTACCATCAGGTAATTCATATAATTTCCTAGGAAGAGAGGCGAAATAGGGATGACGTAACGCTTCCTCCGCACCTATCCGTTGATCGGGATTCAGTTGTAGGAGCGATGACGCCATACTATCGCCCTCGGCGATATCATACAGCCGAGGAAACGAGAGTCCCAGTTTCCGCGGCGGATAAAATATCAGTCTATGTGCTTTATACCCGGGCAGATGCGTGACACCTGGCCAAGTCTCCTCGGTAGGTGTGCCCAGTACTTTAAATATCTTATCAAGTTGGTCGTACGTACAGCGTACACCTGGGAATGTCGGTTCACCAGTTAACATTTCCACAAATATGCAACCTACTCCCCACATATCAAGCGAGGTGGAATACTCTGTGGAACCTAAAAGAACGTCGGGCGGTCTATACCATAAGGTCACGACTTCGTGTGAGTATGTATGCGATGGCACGGATTTGGCCCTTGCTAGCCCAAAATCTGCCAATTTAAGTTCTCCTATCTCGCTGATTAATAAATTCTGTGGCTTTACATCTCTGTGCAGAACCCTCCTAAAGTATGCAGTAATACAAATTAATTAATGCGTATCAAGATGAAGACGTTGACATTACATACTATAAACTTTTTTTAATTACCTGCGGTGACAGTATGCCAGTCCTCTCAACAGTTGAAAAAGAAACAATTTAACATTACGGGGATCCAATCCTCCGTTCCCGAAATACCTCTCCATATATTGGGATAGATCGGTATGAACGTATTCAAACACAAAGGTGAGCGTCTCGCGGGTATGAATGATATCGTGTAAAGTCACGATATTGCTATGTTTTAACTCTTTGAGGAGACTTGCCTCGCGAATGGCAGTAAACGGAGCTCCTTCCTCCTCTTGCAGTCTAATTTCTTTAAGAGCCACCACTTGATTAGTGAGATGGCTATAGCCTTTGAACACTGTGGCATATGATCCCTCTCCTAACTGCTCCAATTTTATATAAGCTTCGGATTTACCGAATGGCGAATCTCCCTGCCGAGACAAATTGAGATTAATGTTTAGTATCATGCTAGAAAATTAATGCAAATGAGTACATATATGTAATATAATATGTTACCCCAAAAGCGGAAAATCTTTTAGTTCTTCTAGGTTCTGGACCAAGGAAAACTTCAGATTTGGGCCGCGGTGGGCGTCGGGGCCGCAGAATTACCCTAGCTTCCTCTCGTATATCTTCATCGAGAAGCTTCGAATCGCTAGAAACCGAAAGCTGTCGATGCACTCTCTCATGGTCGCCCACACCTGTCCATTCTATGACAGTCCAATTTCCGAAAACTTAAAACAACAGCAATAGAACTTCTTAACATAACAGCAATAAAAATACATAAAATCACAGATTTTTAAAATTTTGGATAAATAATTCTACTTTGCTTAAATTACATATATACATATTTTGATGTTATTTATGCATTTAAACAATCGCGGTATAGCTACTTTTACATATGCATAATTTCAACTATGCATAATATATAGAAAAACAACAACGTGATATTTGATCACATTAACAAATGTGTTTTAGTAATCATTTTTTAGTGTTTTTACTAACAATATATGTGAAAGAGTGCATTCTTATAAATACAAATTAATTAATAAATAACTTTATAAAATATGTGTGCACATAAATTAGATTTCTACTTTTTTAATATAATAAAAAGCATGAATTAAGTTCTTTGTTTTCATCTCTTATTTCAAAAAATATATAAACATCTAGACCTACATCACGATATACTACATCTATAAAATATTATGAAACCATAAATATATATACTTTTGGATAAAGCTCACCATAACGACGATCTTTGTCCGCAGGTATATTGCCATTTGGCTCTAAGCGGTCTAGGAACTCCTCCGAATAACCATTATACGGCAATTGACCTCTCGTTGTTGCATCATCAGCCTCTTCTTTTGATATAGCTGTAATAAAATAAATAATATTTATAATCATCATTAATTATGTCTAATTAACGATTCATGATTTACTTGTATAAAACTATTTTACTCGATCTTTGTAATACTATAATATTTGCAATATCAATAATAATTATAATATATTACTAAAACATCATGCTGTTTAATTACAATAGGCAAACGCAATTATTTGCCTGACATTAATTATATATTTATTAATATTGGAAAAAATATTAAAACAAAGTTCAATATTTAAATCCTTGTGATTACTATTATATTTTATTAATGTAATTACCTATACAAAAAATACTTACAAAGACGTCCAAAGCTGTGACTAAGGCGCTTTTTTAATTTTTGCACTCTACTGAGAGCACCACCTTTCTTTTCCCGCATTGTCACAGGCCCTATATGTAACAAATGTAATGTTTAAACACACAATTTGATACACTGAATGTAAGTTGAGATAGCATGACATCACAACAGAAGGCCAAGAACATCAGAGTAATTTAGATATAACAGATCATTACATTTATGATGACATCATACGCTATGTTATGCCAGTGCTCCTTAATGATGATAGAGGTATATATGCATCACATTCTTCTTAAATGACAATGCGAGGAACTCACAGGAAATTACAATATGATAAAAAATAATCATACATGATACAAAGCATGAATATGATTACATCATACAAATATTAATAATTGTTTTTTGTAGATATTATACATCGTTATACTACAGATAAAGCAAGAATAATGACACTCAATGAACGAAGTAATTTGAACACAATTTTGTCCCGAATCCAAAGTAATTTAATTCAACTTCTCAGAACGTAGATGACTCATCCGTTCGTAGAAGATAATGAATTTTTACTGCAATTAAAAGTGAAAGTACGTCTTCTTAAGTATGCACTTTCCAAGTATGTGTATCAATTCATCCGAATCAGCCAACTATCATTCTTTTTTGGAGCAAGCCACATAACAAAGCAAACTCTCACGGGACACTTATTAACACGATAAAAAACTTTGAGATTGCCGTATGTATATGACACATGACACGCCATTCAGTCACACGTACGTACACGCACACGAGTATCGACACACACGTTCTTTTTGCGTACAGGTATGGCACTGTAATTACAGCACAGGAGGTTCAACGAACTAATATACATTAGTTTCACACGTCGAATAACCGAACAAATCTCTGGTCGAGATGTTCAAGTGTCAGATAAAACGTAGACTCTCTCCCTCTCTCTCTTCGTGTCACACAAAAGATTGCATTGTATCCATCGTGCGACTCGAAAAGATACGGCGATTCCAATCCTGAAATTGATAAGCGCGCGCGTTTCTTTCTGCCAACATGAATATCAAGCCGGCAAAGGAAAATAATGTTCAATGCTCTTCTCTCGCTTGAATTGCATATATACTGAAGAACTCAGTCGTCCCTCTTCTGCCTGCGATCAGGAGGTACTGTACATACACACATACAAGGGACGCGCGCGCGAGGAAACAAAAAAAAAGAGAGAGAGAGAATTATTATTTTCATTTTCTCTCTCTCTCTCTCTCTCTTCCTCTCTTTCTTTTTCTATCTCTCCGCTTCTCTCCGTCAGACTGCTGTTGCTACTTGGTCCTTCTCTCCCGTCTCCATGATCCTGGAACGGAACTCTCTTTACCTCTCTCTCTCATTCATCGTCTCCTCTCTCATTCTTTCACACACACACACCACACATACACATACACGTACACTCCCTCTCTATCTATCTTTCTCACTTCGTTCACACGCACACACAAAACCACCAACCGATGAGAAACCAAAACGACAAGAGCCGGAACGTCGGCCGCGAGAAAGAAATAGGGGAAGGATGCGCGACGGGCGCGTCCGTGTCCGACTTACCCTCTTTGCTCTTGGAAGCGGTCGAACCCTTGTCCTGACAGTACATGATTACTCATTCGCTCGCACGCGCGGGACACATCACATATGGGCGGTGACGCACTCGGCTGCGTGTTCTGGGTTGCGCCGCCGCCGCTTCCGCCG